TTAGTGCAGTGAACTCATTGTCATGTTCAAGAAACCAATTTGAAATGATTCGAGCTTTGTATCATGGTGCATTATCCTGCTGGAAGTAGCCATCAGAGGATGGGTACATGGTGGCCATAAAGGGATGGACATGGTCAGAAACAATGCTCAGGTAGGCCGTGGCATTTAAACGATGCCCAATTGGCACTAAGGGGCCTAAAGTGTGCCAAGAAAACATCCCCCACACCATTACACCACCACCACCAGCCTGCTCAGTGGTAACAAGGCATGATGGATCCATGTTCTCATTCTGTTTACGCCAAATTCTGACTCTACCATCTGAATGTCTCAACAGAAATCGAGACTCATCAGACCAGGAAACATTTTTCCAGTTTTCAACTGTCCAATTTTGGTGAGCTCTTGCAAATTGTAGCTTCTTTTTCCTATTTGTAGTGGAGATGAGTGGTACCCGGTGGGGTCTTCTGCTGTTGTAGCCCATCCGCCTCAAGGTTGTGCGTGTTGTAGCTTCACAAATGCTTTTCTGCATACCTCGGTTGTAACGAGTGGTTATTTCAGTCAAAGTTGCTCTTCTATCAGCTTGAATCAGTCGGCCCATTCTCCTCTGACCTCTAGCATCAACAAGGCATTTTCGCCCACAGGACTGCCGCATACTGGATGTTTTTCCCTTTTTCACACCATTCTTTGTAAACCCTAGAAATGGTTGTGCGTGAAAATCCCAGTAACTGAGCAGATTGTGAAATACTCAGACCGGCCCGTCTGGCACCAACAACCATGCCACGCTCAAAATTGCTTAAATCACCTTTCTTTTCCATTCTGACATTCAGTTCGGAGTTCAGGAGATTGTCTTGACCAGGACCACACCCCTAAATGCATTGAAGCAACTGCCATGTGATTAGTTGATTAGATAATTGCATTAATAAAGAAATTGAACAGGTGTTCCTAATAATCCTTGAGGTGAGTGTATTAAGAGCCTCCTGCTGCCTCCTCCTCATGTCCTGACAGCTGTGTTGTTATATTGAGAGCTTCTCTACAAACTGAGGAATAGACGACAGTAACTTTACATTCAGCCTGCATGTTATTGTGATCATATATTTATTAATTTAGCTGACACCGTTATCCAACTTATAATTGCTATATATTGGAGCAACTCGGGGTCAAGTGTCTTGCTCTCTCACACATTGGTGGACGTGTCACAGTGGGAGTTGAACCGGAGTTGAACCCACCCCCCCTGGTGACTTATTAGTCTGCCCCCCCAAAATCCTGTTGTTGCACTCTAGCTATGAAGCTAAGATGCCACCCACCCTTACCTATCTGCTGGAAGGAGGGTCCTGGAAGAAGTGGGTCAGCCCCAAGAAAATGTGAGAAATACTCATCACAATTTTCCAGAGCACAAAGTGACCTCTTCAGTCGCTCGTTGTACTATCGAGGTAGCTCCTGTTCACTGTGCCCCGGCAGCTCCTAAGCACGAGTCGACAAAGATCAAGGAGGAGATTTACATCCTGACACCAGAGAGCGTCTGTGAACAGATACAGAGGTTTCCATCTCCACCTGAATACAACCACCTGTTATCATGTGACCGTGCTGCGCTAGAGTCGTGTGATGACAACTGAGAAAGTTCAGTTTGCTTAACTCATTAAGACGAGATGCAACGTGTGCGTGCTTTTTCCCTCTGAGATCGGCTGCAAGGTTTGTGCTTCTACCTTTGAAGGCCAGATGCAACATGTGGCCGTTTTTAGTAGATGTCCCTGTTTCAAGACACATGACTTATGAGATCATTATACGCTGAAATACAAGTGGGGGAAGTGAAATGTATTATGGGATTTGTATTTTTTATATGTTTTTGGCCTTTGTGTGGACCGCAAGTTTCCAAAGCTGTGCTTCAGACAGTTATAATGGCTGGTGAGCTGAGCGAATGCATAACAAAGCATGAGCGAAACTCCATCCAGCAGCAAGTAGACAACTGTTGGTGAAAGAAATGAAAACCTGCATTGGGCTGTGTCACTGTGGGCATCTTCAGCTGCAAGTGGGGAAAAAAGTAGATTTTTCAGACAAATTTACCCCCAATAAGAGACAGATTTTCAATGGTCTGGAGGTAATAATAATTACAATAATAACAATTTTCTTTGTTTTTTCATTTGAGTAAACACAAAGACAATAATTTCCAATAGAAGCAAAAGGTGGACGCTCTCAAATGTTTATATAAAATCTAAAAATATTAGGTTTAGGTTTTAGAAAGCTTTTCTGGAGAGCACCATAGGTCTTAATGGGTTACAAAGGCCATGGGATGTGGTCAAAAGCTCTAATAAAGAGTTAGTATGTGAGGCTTGAGTTTAGACTCATTCATTACAGATGTGTTCCCCAAGGTCAAAATGAAGCTACAAGCTTGATGAAATATTGTTTCTATGAGCTTCATACATATTTTATTCTTGTTGTGTTTTAGTAAAATAAAAAATCCACAAAGGATGAAAATGTGTGGATTTTTATTTATTCTTTTTTTATCGTTTTATTTTCCTTTTTTGTGTCGATACATATCATTGATACAGTTCCTGTTTTTGTTTAGTATAGTACACATGTTCAGTTTTATATCTTAGAGCATTTGTTAGATGTGTCCAGTTGTGCTTTTGGGGTTGTGGCTTTGTTGAGTCTTGTATCTCAGAAGAGGTGGAGGTCTCCAAGAGTTCTCATGTGGACTTTTTCTCTCAAATACTAATACCTATTATCTGTATCTTCTGAAGAGTCCACTCCTTAATTATACATTTGGTAAAATCTTGTGGGGCCCTCACTTTCCCATGGCTTGAAAGCATCATCAGTCTTGTTTGGAGGAAAATCTGGGTCTTAAACAGGTCATTTCTTGTTCCTTTGGTTACTTTACATTTTCTTCTCCAGATTTTAAATGTGTTAAATGTATATAGAGTAGTTGTGTATTTTGATCTGTCATTTCCTGTTGCTGAATGTGGTTTTGAATCTGTTTGTTCAGACTGAAAGCAAAGCCATTTCTAGTCAAAGCAAAGAGCCGCAGATTTGTTAAAGACGGCGCCAGTTGAGGTGAAGACATTACTGCTAAAAAGAAATTTTTCAGCTAAAATGAAAAATCAGCTTTATCTTTGATGGATGAACAGAGAGACAAGAAAAACTGGAGGAAAGAGACTAAAGATGTTTCTGCTGAGTTCTGAGATCAACGTCTGAAGGACTCGGTACGCTTCAAACTAACTAGATCACATGACGTCTGTTTATACCTGCTCCAAATGTCAACACTGAAGACAAAAAAACCCTAAAAACACAAAGTCCACATGTTTCTGAGGCCTGGACCAGGTCCACTGGAGGCCTCTGGGTTTAACTGCTGTAGTTTGATCCAGTGTCCAGTGAGGTGGAAGAGGCGCTGAATAAACGGGGACTACGAAAACACTACAGATGACATTTGTGTTCAGTGTGAACAAACCGTTGTTGTTGTAAAAGTCTGACTTAATCAAATATTATCGTGTCTTCATTATCTGACTCCATTTTAACAGCTTTTTGCTTTCTGTTCTGTCAGTAAATGTGTTGCTTTCTGTTTAACTTTGGGGTTGGTGCTGTAATAATCTGAGCAGGAGACTCGAGTCCTTTTCAATGTTCTCATTAAATTAGTCGACACAAAGAGAAGCTTTGACTCATCATTTCAAACTGGACGTTTAATGAACTGTTTCCTTTCAACAATATTTCTTGTGGATCTTCAGAAAATATGATAAATTCTGACAGGTCCAAAATGTAAACACAGCAGCTTCTAAATCATGGCGGTGTAGAAAGTTCTGATGTGGTTTAACTTGACTCTTAACTTCCTGTCAGTGGTTATGATTTACTACAGCTGCTGACTTTTCTGTGTCTGTATAAATAAAGTTTGTTTGACTGCACGCATTAGAATGAGCCACAAATATCACAATGGAAAACAGCTGCAGCTGTTATCAGCCACTGGGAGATTCACAGGAAACGCCCATTCAAGCCCCTTTCATTCAGCTGCAGGGTTTCACCATGAGATGGCGCTTCCTTCACAAAAACACACCAACCTATAGGTGCATTCGAGAGGACTGTGGCGGAGTTTTGCCGACTTGATGGTCTAACGTGAGCTGCAGGCGACTGCAGCTGCGGGGTATAAAAACGACTGGCGTGAGCTGAGAACAATGGCCGGTCTCGCGACATCTGCCTTTTTTGTTGCTGATGAAATTGATGATGAATAAAATGGGATATTAAACACATCTCAAAGCAGTAAGTAGACTCAGCCTACTGTAAAAACCTGTAGGCAACAATAGCTTAAGGCTTTTAATCAGTCTCTGTAGGATGATGTCGCTTTAGCCTCTAGAGTTTCTCCACATCACCACAGCAAACATAAAGCAGCCTATTGGCTAAAACTGTCTGTGGGATTTCCTACAGATGGGGATGTCATTTTCCAGAGAGCTGATTGGTCAGTTTTAATAGAGTTGATCTCTTATCCTGAACAGCTAACCTGTTCAGGATAAGTTTACCATGGAGATCTACCCCAGTAAGAAGTGAACCACCTTCGTGGTGCTGAAAACCCAGCGTTAACCCCGAAGTTACCTGGATAAGCTCAAATCCTGCTTCGTGGTACAGGACTCCAGACTCCGGAGAGGGTTGGGAAACACCGTTTTAGGAGTGTGGCAGGCGGATTTACTATAAGCAATTCTACCTAAATGACACATTAACATGAGTTTTGTTCACTAGTTAATGCACACGAGGCCTGTGGGGCTTAAGCCATACTTAAGTCAGGGTCAGGATTTGCACGGGCTGGTTCCCCCATAACTGTTTGCATTGGGTGCCACATACCTATTCGAAAGCCACACTTAGAAAACCCTATTGCTTATCTCAACTACGAGGAACATTCATTCAGTGAAGTTGACTGGCTTTTGTGACAGTCAGAGAAGGCTCTGTGTGGCAGCTGGCATGATGCCAGAGCTTTCCGCCCCCTGCGACCCTGTACGCAGGATAAGCGGTTGATGATGGATGGACGGATGGTCTAACATATTTACATTTTAATGGTACTGCTTCTCAGTCATGCTGCTGTGCCTCCACATGAAAGCTCATGGAAAGTGTGAGACTAGCAACCAGGCCAAGTCATGCAGGGGATCTCAGGGTAACAGTGATCTCCCGAGGTGTAGTCATATTGGCTTAGACTGACTAACCAAAATGCAAAATACTTAGAGAATGACAAAATGATAACACAGATATAAGATGTTTTATTTGGGCTGAACATTTTAAAGTAGTTCTATTCTTCTTTCTTGTCCTTTAGTAATTGGCTCATGGCTGTTTGGGTGGTGAAGATCTTATTTTCAAAGTTTCTTCTCCTTCAGTCTCCTCCACCTCTCCAGATCTGGGCGCGTTCTCCTCTCAGCGTGGGCCTCATAGGTCTCATAAAAGGAGGTGGCCTGACTGGCTGGTATTCTGCTGGCGACCCGGTCTGCAGAAGGTCTGGTAACTGGAGGCAGACCGCTGCTGGTATGAGCAGGTTGGGGTCTGTGGGTCAGGGGCTGGGCATTGATGGGAATGAAAACAGGAGGCAGAGTAGATCTTGGTAGAGTTATAGCATTTTGTTTTTATTGTCTAATAAACTGAATAAAAGGGGAACTTGGTTGGTTCTTGCAGAAGTTCTAATTTACTGTGGAACCTTGGCTACAAAGTCTTTATCTGGGAAACCATCCAAAGAAGTTACGTCACTAATCTTTGACCAAACAAATACTCTAAATATCTTTTCTAAAGCTTATTTAACATTGTCTACGCACCACTCCTTAGCTTTTGGGCAGTATCTTTGGACACAGTGTCACTGTGCCTTTCTCAACTGTGACTGATTTGCATTTATTGACCCAAAATATCTCTCTGTAGCGTTGTTTGTCACAACGTGGCGACCTCCATAGAAGGGGTGCCCACTGTTATGTAGATCTAAATGTCTCATTCTAAGGTAATTCAATGTATAAGATCTCAGAAACATTAGACACTGAACCTTTAAGTGAACAAACAGCTTCACTGTGTGTCAGGATTTCCGTGTGTGTATGTGTATATGTGAACAGGTGGACGACTCAAATGCGGGACTCTGGAGCAGAGCAGGTTCAGTTCAGTGATTTATTAAAGAAAAGTGAGCCCACTTCCAAGCAGTGGCTAAGTCCAAATCAAATCCAAGGAAACAAGTTGAAATAATAACCCAGGCAGTGCTTGAACACAAAACAGTTGGACCACATCAAGGTGAAAAAAGAAACATGAAGCAAAACTAGACACAGACAGCAAACGCAAACTACTTCAGATTAAAACAGGAAGCAAGACAACAGACACATGGAGTGAACAGACAGAGCACACATAGACAAACATACCAAGAACAAACAACATCAGGGGTGGATGGAAGAACTAGAACACATGTGAAACCTAAACGGGAAACAGACTAGTTTCTAGATCTAACAACTGAGACACAGAACTATGGCACAGAACCAGGACTACACACTAAGGGGACTTTCACACCTGAAGGTCCGCACCAAGGTCCGAACCTAAGTTCATGTTTTGATACATACGGTTGTTTTGGGACTTTACATGACACACTTGCGTCCCGTCGTTGTCATCTATGTGGGCTGCGTCTCCCTATACTTGACATTGATTGGTTTATTAAATAGTTCAGCCGGTATCTTCGACAAGAATGAATGAATAAAAAATTAACATAGGCCTATTTGCCACCACTATGTTGTTGTTATTTTTATGGCCTTACTACCTGCAGCACCAACTATACTGAAGGCTAGTCGCAATTAAACATCCTTGTGCGAACGCTGAACTTCCTGTAAATGATCTGAAAGTCCGAACCATCCAAAAAATGCTTTCACACCAGAAACGAACCGAACCATTCAGTTCGATCCAGACCGAAACTACCTCTTGTCGTCTGTTTGGCCCGGACTGTTGTCCAGGGGAGGTTTCACACCCGTATTTTTGGTTCAGACCAAACTGAAAAGTCCAAAAATCCTGACCAAATGAGGTAGGTGCGAAAGCCCTCTAAGACAAAGAACTAAGACGAAGAACCAGTGCGCCAATTATGCCATGACAACTTTTTTCCCAGGTCATAAGGAAACCCAGTACAGTGCAAATGCGTGCTTCAGTGAACTAAAATCTTACAATGCTTACACTATCCTTGTTTGTTTAACTAATGTCTGTAGTCTTTCGATGATGATAAATCAAATTCATTACACAACAACTTGTATAGTCAGAGTTTACCAAGTGTGAATACTCAAACACAGACCCAAAAAATGCTTAACCAGAACCAAGGACACTCATAAACTGTCTGCATTATCATCTATAATTCCTAATTGTTATCATATCAAGTTGTAACTTGCTCTTTTTTTTTAGCAATTACTCCATTTCTCTTGACTGTGAATCTGCGTTCATTAAAGCAGTAGTCATACATTGTTGAGGAATTGGGAATTGTTGGGTCCAGATCTGCTCTATATGAAAAGTGAGATTACTTTTGTTATGAATAAAACTGACTGAAATGAAAATGAATACATTTGAAATAACACACCTGGATTTTAACATTTACCTAGCCTTGAATTCCAGAGTGAAAACAAATATCACGTTATTGTAAAAAGACTTAAAATGAAATAACAAACTCTATATTGATTAACCGGTGTGATGCACTGGATTTTAATGAGCCACTGCAAGTCATGCAGGCAGACAAGACGTTCAACTTACATCAAGGTAAGCTATGGTCCACTTTAGGGGTGTCTGAAATCGTATTTCAATATACTTGAAAATAAGGCATGAATATGGGAAATATCTGAACCATGCACAGGACTAAGAAACAGGACTAAGAACTAAGATAAGAAAACAGGGAATGAGACAATTTTTGAAGTTATTTGATCAAAGCAATTCTGACACAAGTTGATAAACTTTTTTAGTCAAGGCTATGAGACAGAATTGGTAATAAGTGAACTAAGCTGGACATGCAAAAAACCATGACACTTAATGTGTTTGGACTCTCTAAGCTGCCGAGATAAGCAGCAGATGTTTGTGAACAAACTGTCTGTTTCATCTGATTTCACCATTTAAACAGTAACCGTAATATAGCTACTCCTTTGTGGCCCGGGGAGAAAGTCCCAGACTCCCTTCAACAATCCTGCAGTTTAGTGACTTGTTGAGTTAGAGGACACTTTAGAAACTTTGTGAAACGCTGTCTACGACAAACTCTTAATGATTCTGCCTTCTTGTAAATTCAACATTAAATGTGACACATGAAGATCAAGGAGCCATGTTTCTAAACGGCCTTAGCGACAGTAACTAAGGGGGCGGGGCGCCGTCACAGCGAGAACGCGGAGGCTCCGCGGGATCCGGAAGTGCTCCGAGACCAGAATCCAGACTCAGTCCAGGACAACACGGTCCACCAGTCACAGACCTGCAGGACGATGGAGAACCAGAACCCGGACCGCAGGAGCCAAACAGCAGCCTCGTGCTCTGATAGCACCGATGTTCAGGTCAGTGTTCATGACTTCATCACGAGACTAAAGACACGAGGAAGAGTCTCGAGGGTCCGTGTATCATCCGTTCATTCTGTTGTTAGAGATCAGAGCCTGAAAACCCGCTCCAGGGTTTGTGTTGACGTGGTTTGATTTCCAAAGTGTCTCCGT